AACGAAAAATCCTCGCAAATATCCTAGCTCTTAACATTACGAGAGCCCAGACCCTCTCGTAACTTTAATATTAAGTTGAAAATAACACATTTACACTACGAATTACAATTATAGTGATATTATATATTTGATAATAATGAATAAAATGCGTTTTTGTTGAAAAACACGTCAAAATCATTAGAATTTGTCTTGTTGTGCAGAATAAATTCATGACCACGTAATTTTTCATCAAATATTATTTATATGTGGTTAGCCATCATAATATGCATAAATTACTGTGATGTACAATAAATGTGTATGAATTTGAATTTTGTGATCGCTTCTCATCCAATCAGCAGCCTTGTGACATGAAATTATGAAGTTCATGTTATCGTAAGTTTTCACTTAAGTAAGTTTAGTTTAAGTTGGTTTCTGGCAACGCTATTAAAATTAACCTTAACATTAACATTAGACGTCACTTAAAATTAATCGTAACTTTACGAAGTTTCTGACAACGGGCCCCTGGTAATTGTGAATAGATGTCCCTGAGAATGTAGCTATATTAAGTAGCTATACTGACACGGTGTGCTGTTCTGGTAGGGTAGTAAAAACTCCAGACAGGTGAAACATGTCATGGTTATACCTAGTCACAATACACAAAGATTATATAACACGTATGACAATATATAAGTCTATTATACATAATTATCGACACTTACTCTATCTTCTTAAACAATTACATCCTAAATAATTCACTCCCTATTAGACCTTCGCTCTTGTAATGAACTCAGGCATTCTCTAGCATAATTACTATGTAGGATTATTTTACAGAATCATTCATCCACGTGATTTGTTCTTTCAGCAAGTGATTTACGCGGGTCCTTACCATTGTCCATAATAATTTTGGTTTTTACTTTCTGGTTATCAGGTGGGACTCCATGAACAGAAACCACCACATAGGGATCAATCACTTCCCCCTTCATTGATCCACCAGGCTTCGGTAGGCGCTGTCCACTTATGATCTATAACAATCGTAAGAATGTCTCCACTATCATAGCCATATCGAACCTAAGATTGATATATTTTATATATTTAAATAACGTGAGTATATAAAACATAAATTATAACAAAGAGAAAGGAACTGGTGAGTAATAGTTCTACATTACTGAGGAATTATATGTAACGACTCATAACGACGGTCATACTCATAACGGTCATACTCTACTGAGTACTGACACCATAGCGAACCCAGTACCAGAGATGCCAACATATATTTGAAGCAATCTGTAGTTTCTGGCAATCAAATTAGTAGTTCGAAAGGGGGGGATTATTAATTTTACACGCACGCACGCACGCACGCACGCACGCACGCACACACACACACACACACACACGTTCTAAATTGTAGTACATACGCTGCCACGCACATGAAACATTGTATTACGGCTAGTGATGGGAATCGGCTGGAATTTCATAATCGATTATCGGTTTCCCTTAACCGATCGATAATCGATTATAATCGGATAATCGGTTAATAATAGCTAGATTTAATTTAATCTTACTTTGTATATACAATTATACATAGCATTCAATATTATCATGTTTTATGATCATGTATTAACTCTGTGAAGGTTGCTGTATGTATATCAATGTCTGTTCCTATACAGTATTTAATCAATTTAAAAAGAAATGGTTTAATGCCTTTATTAAAACATTAAAAGTTTTAAACAAACATGATCAAGACTTGTTCTTTATTATAGTAAGTAAGTTGTTTGTGTTCTAATAGTGTAGGCTGCAATCAGACAGGACCTATGTTAACAGTGATTCATGAAGGTGTCCTCTGGACTACACACTGATGCACTTCTACTTCGCTACCAATACATGTCCATGTTGCGATTTAGTAATTTTTAAATTTTTTTTTTTTTTTTTTGTATTTTGATAATCGATTTTTGTTTTCATAATCGATTATCGAATTTGAGACTATAATCGATCGATTTTCGATTATAATCGATCATCGGGACATCACTAATTACGGCTAGCGCAAATAGTGGAGTGTCTGCCTGTACGAGCGAGGAGGATCGATTGTTTATACGCGAAGTCTCTTGCGGCTGGGGTCCAGGGCCCGCGTAAGGGCCCTGGAAGCTCAGGGGGTTTGAGAAAGCGGCCCACGAGGCACGTGTGTATGGCTGTGTACATCCATTGACGCTGCGTACGTGCCTGCTGGCAGGGGTGGCATTAGCCGCGTTCACACGTAGCAAGAAATCCGGTATTTAGCGTTCACACGAGGCAAAATGCGCGGTTCAAGAAATACGGTATCTAAACAGATCCGGTATTTGATGTAAATAGGCGGCTTCCCAGACCCCAAATAATTTGCCGTGCTTGAGAAATACCGGATCTCTTGGACCGCGCATTTCCTCGTGTGAACGCTAAATACCAGATTTCTAAAGCCGCGTATTTTATAGACTACTGGTCCGCGCTCGACAGTTCCAGTGTAACGCGAGTGGAACTGTCGAGCGCAGACCAGTCTACGTATTTTATCGGCAGTTGGTCGCATTGCATTGTTTATTTCGCATTGTTCGCTTGATTGTTTAAAGCAGCTCGCAGCTCGCAAATACCGTATTTCTGGAGCCGCGATCAGCGTGTGAACGCTCGGCTGCGTATTTGTCTCAGATTCGGTATTTCGCAAATACCGTATTTCATAAATACGAGGTCTCGTGTGAACAAGGCTATTGATTGAAGTACGGGGGGGGAGGGGGGCACGATTGTTTCAGCGTGGTACTAATCACTACTTAAATGTAGAGGGTTGGCATTGCTGGACTATGAGAGAGCGACAGCAAAACTCTTTCGGGGAATTGACGAAAAAGCTACAATCGGGAATGACACACGAGTGTGCCGGCAGGGAAAAATATACGTGTGAATTTCATTAGGATTTTCCATGGATTACTGTTCTATAATCCTATGGGTCGTTGGTCCTATGGGTCTACGTAGGCACGCCCGCAGGCACACCCGCTCACATGCACGCACGCGCACACATGCACGCGCGCAGGCACACCGGCACACCGGCACACACAGGCACGCACGCACGCACGCACGCACGCACGCGTGCAGGCACACACGCAAGCACGCCCGCAGGCACACCAGCACGCACACACGCTTGCGCGCAGGCACACACGCAAGCACGCGCACAGGCACACACGTATATACGCGCGGGCGGCGGCGCGCGCTTGATTGAATGCAATACAGTACAGTACACACATGCATGCTTAAATGGTAAACACTTGACAGTCACACCGTACCATGAATTCTACCGCGCCGTGGAACTAGCTGCCGCTAGCGGCAGAGGCCTAGGCATCGCAGCGCAGCAACGCCGAGCGAGAGCAGCAAGGCGCGGGACCGACCTGGACAATCGATTTCCAGGGCGACTTTTTCTTTTGGGGTGGCCCCCCCCCCCCGATATCATGTTTTCGGGGGCTCTTTTTGGCATTTCGAAGGCGAAATTGCCTGCCGCCCCCGTGTATTTTTTCCCCTGCGTATTATAGACTGACAAACCAAAAATAATTTTTTTTTTCCCGATCACAGTGAAATTCGTAGTTTGATACAAACTGGTCGTAGTGGTGCAAAGGAATAGAAATTTGTATAAAATACGGATAAATCGTAGTGGTTGGCATCTCTGCAGTACCCATGCCCCCTCCTGAGTCCCCCCCAACTCAGAGGTTTTCTATGTAAAGTTGCATGCTAGCTGCTACCTATTGACATGTCCATAAAAAAATATCCTCACCACAACCTGAAACTGGATCTGAAACGAATCTGAAATGAAAACGTTTACTGGTGAATTTCATAATCAAATAGCAACATTCCCTGACTTTGGGAACTTGTGGCAATATGCTACTCACTTTGATAGTCAGAAGTTTAGGTTTGCAACCATAGGTCTCCGGTTTGTTTGGGTTAAATGTAGACCGAGCATCTTGCAGTGCAGCTGGCTTTAGAAGGTAGCCACATTTGCCATTATCCTGGAATTTTCCCTTGTACAGCTGCATCTGCTTCCCTGCTGTCTGATAGTTCAACGCAACTGCAACGGAAATGTTTTTGTGCCCTGTATATGTAAAGGGTGTCTGCCTGATGCCTTTTATTGCACGACTCCTGTAGTTTTCACTCTATTAAACAATCTTCTAAAACATCACTAGCATCTTAGATGCTTTTCACACATTCCTCTACGGCATTTCCATATTCTAGTGAACATGTGTGTAAGTTAATTTGGTAACTGTTGCTATAATTATACATGCACTTTTGTGTAAAAATGTACATTTTACTGAGTATGGAGTAGACGTCTGATATGATATGTTCATAGATCACATTACCAATCTGACAGCCAACATTCCACATATCAATAGGGCTGTAGTTGCTGGAATCAGTGCGCAGGCCATTTGGGTAGATACGGCTCAGGAACAACTTGTTGTGTTCAACATATGATGCGGGCTCTGTGCTGATCAGCTTCTCTGCTTTCTTCTCCACAAACGATGACATTTCATAACATTTGCCTGTCATCAGAACATTTATGAATTACTTAGCTTGTTTGTCTTTTCATTAACACTAAGAACATTCAATGCTATCACATTATCCTAGCTTCAGAATGCAAATACATTGACTCAGTTATAATATACGAACTTACATTTTGCCTTAGCCAGTTCGAAGTTGCTGAAATGCACACTCTTTAGTAACACTCGATCAGACAACTCCTTTGCTAACTTTACCTTCTTGCCTGTCTGGAAGCAGAAAATAATGTGAAATTGTATCATCTCTACATTTACATAAATATATCACAGAAACACATTGTAAACACAATGTAACACATGAGTGAGGCAATAATTCGGCCAACTTTAGCCTCATACACTTTTATAAAGAACAGCCAAGCAAAACTTACACAGCCCCATAATATACATCCCTACCTTTCCTACCTTCTTCGTGAGCTCTTTTGTGATTATCTCATCCACAATCTCAGCTGCCTCGTCCTCGTCACTAACTTCATCCTCATCCACAACGTTAGGATCAGGATATGGGGGTGGTAGCCGCTTTCCCTGCAGTAACATGAGCTCTAGATGCAGGCCATGGAGAAACAAGTGGCCCACAAAGATCAGGAGGGGAAATGACAGTTCAGGCTGTTACAAGAAGTATATTCTGCTTACTATGCAAGCTAGAGGATGGTCCTGTAATTCTATATGGTAACCGTATACAGATATTGAGGTTGGTGATCTTTGAAGAATTACAATCTCTCCTACCTTTACCACAATCTTGCCCCTGAGCTTTTCCGGGGAAGGCATTTCTGTGACAGTGTCATCTAGGTCGATGTACCACAGAGTGCTACCAAGAATGTCTTTTAGGTGGGAGGCAACCATCTTCTGCTGCTCCACAGAGCAGTGGTTCTCCATGGACAGAATCACTGGGTAGCTAAATCAGAAGCACATGCACTTGACCCACACTGTACAGGAAGTAATCTAAGTTCAGTGTTCTGTAACTCTGAATATCCCCATATACCTTGGTTGGCGATTTGGAGGGACCAGTCACTTAGAAGACAGAAACGTAAGATATTCCATACATTGGTTTTGTCATGTGTTAGATTCTACGCCTTTGGAGTTTTGGTGAAAGGTTTGTTACTGAGGAGTTGTTAGGTGTGTATTTGTTTTATCCTTGCATTTTGCATCCGTATTATGCATCCACAGTTTCTGGTGTTCCACCACCAGCTACCATGTTGCTTTCATGTTAGGCAATAAAGTGTTCCTCTGTGAAAGATTTCGTATTAACGTGTGTTCGTAAAACTGGCATACGGCCCCAATGCATGACATGCACCAATTAATGCAGCAGAGACAAACCTGTGCTGTGTTGAAGACACATCATATACTACAGGGCACTGTGGCTGCAAGTGCAAGTGCAAGTGCCTATGACCACTATATGGTGCTTTAAGGCATTAAGGTAAATGGGTGAGTAGTTGAAATGCCATAAAACTGATGATATACATGACACTGACTCTGTTTATGTGCTTCACCACATCATAAACATTATCCAACCTGCTGTGCACGGTCATATTCTATGTGAAGCTCAACACTCACTCTGATGTCTTGAAAGCATACTCCATGCAGGCTGTGAGTGCATCCTTGAACAATATCTTTGATGTTAGAGTGTGTCCATGGAATATTATAGGTTCACCATTATTCCCATCCCAAAGGTCCACTACAATCAGAGTATAGCATAACATATACAACAAATACAATACAATAATATATAACCCCACAAGTTTTCAATTAGTCTTAAAGATGCCAACAGAATCCAACCGGTGTAATATAAATCTAGTAATGATTTAATTAAATATTTTAAAATATTGTAATTAAATGATACCCACTTTCTACACATCTGCAGCCTTTTTGAAGTGCTCTCTTGTAAGCCTCAATACTACTGGGTCCTCGCAACTGATCCTCCATTAAATAGCTGCAACATGTTTTAAATTGTCACAGTATACAATTGAACAACAGACATTATATCAGGCAAGAAACTGCTTTATTAATAAAATATATTAAAACACATCACCTAAATATTATTACAATTATATTTATATTATTAATTATTATTACTATATTTTTATTACTAAATAATTATATGATAAGTATAAAGAATCTAAACTGTAGTTGCAGTCTAATAAGCTAAAGTGAACTTCTGCTCATTCATGCTGTGGTGACCATGTTTAACTAATCTGCTACATCTAACTCGTGATATATAGTAGTATATTAACATGTTCAAATGTGTACATATGTATAACTATATAATATATATAGAAAGCCTCTTAGTTAATGTTAAATATGTAATGGTAAATGAATAAGTTAAAACAAAGGCAATATATACATATACATAATACACACGTGTTATGTGACGAGTCAATGAAGTAGTGTGTTATTGGTCGGGTCATGTCCTGGTAGATTTGATTGCACCTTAGATTGAAGATGTCCTGTTCTGCACCAAGCAGCAGCTGACGAAGCCCTGCAAAGATAAACCATTAGATACCACGGCATGCAGAATTTTCTATTGTAACCAGTTGTGAACATGTAAATGCACATTTTCTTATTCCTTCATGTCAGAAAATGTTTCACTGTAATGTACTTTGGTTTATACTGTTCTTTATATTTAAGTGGCCAAACTGCCGCATATATTGATTGTTTTTGTACATGCACTGGGCGGCCATTAAAAGGTCCAGGAACATGGCAGACATCTGTTCACGTGGGCGTGATATACAGAGAGGACTCGACTCCTTATAAAAGATATGTTTGTATTAACAAGACTTCTCTGTCTTTGATATTCACAGATTCACAGATTCTCTTCTGACTCTAGGTCTCCTCAGAGAACCTCTACTGTCAGCTCTCGACAATTTTTCCATGTTTTTAAATGAAAAGATTCACAGTTTTCACTGGCGGGTGCTGCCACATACAAGGCTCTCTTCTTGGCACCGTTTCCACACTCTATCTCGTTTTGCTGAGTACTAAGCAGAGAAGCAGTGTGTACCATTTTTCAAGTCTTTGGTATGACCCGGCCGGGATGCGAACCCACGACCTTCCACATGCGAGGCGAGCACTCTACTAATTAAGCCATCGCAGTGGTTGCATGATCACAGGATATGAAACATAAAAGCAGGAAAAATCGACTGATGCAAAAAATGATCAGTCGGTTAGCAACTGATAGGTTATACCTTCCCCGGAGAGGACATCGACCTCCTTGTTTTCCTGTAATGGTTCATACTTCTGTATCATAGCTCTGCATTCATCAACACTGACATCGGCCTGGACAAAAACGTTTGTACATGAACTCACACCACATATTTTTCTACATTCTCTACTGACTGTCCCTCGCTCTCGCTGCTACATCATTATATGCTTTGTATGCTACATCACCCTTCATTTTCCCCTCATTACTTCTTTTTTCAGCCTTTCCATTTACCTTGGCCCCCTTCCCCCCCTCTCCCTCCTTTTTCTCTCTTTTTCATTCAAGCTCTTTCTATATTCTGAGATTACTCAATGTTTATCTCGTTTTCTATTCACTTCAATTCCTTCCTCTTCTCATTCTATCTCTCTGCATCTGTTTCATTTATTTTTAAGCCCTGACTTGACTGCCCGTGCTTAATTTTCCCTACCTTCTGTGCCTTTTTAAGAAATTCCTGTAATTCCTCTGGATCCATAAAATCATCATCGTCATCTTTGGTAAATTCTTGAAAGATCTTGTCAATCTAAAGGACAGTAAAAAATTCCTTCTCTCATTCCTTATTACATAGACACCGTCGCATAAATGAACTCCCAATATATGCATACTGTATTGAGCATTGTCACATTCATTCATGTATCCACAATTTGCAATTCCCTACCAAACTAAGGTCAATAATATATGATAACAGTGGTGCTCAATTTCTCATGTATATGCTGAGAGCAATGCTGTACGTGTAGATAGTGATGCTCCAAATTTGCTAATATATGCGTAAACAAGTAAACAAGTAAACAAGAATGTAGGAAGTTATATAAACACTGGGCAGATTACAGATGTAGGCGATAATACAAATAATGCTACTTCTAGATAGCAGGTAGAAACATGTAGTGCAACATAACAGTGCATACTGCATTGCTTATCAGTCGTAAATCATGCAGTAAACACAAAATCGTAATCATGCAGGGACTACTTCTTTACTTGTGCAAATTAAACTCAAACACACTTCGTCTAAATTTGATGACACTGCTGGTTGCCACTCTGACATATTTCAATCTACTTGATTCATTAGACATATAAAAGCGTTTCATCTGCATTTTGAAATTGAAAAGATTCTTACTAGAAGCAACATATCACCGTATTATATAACATTTATACATACTTCAGGTCTATGCCGGAGCAATGTATAGAAACGAACAAATTCTTCTGGATCTAGGGCATCCTCTTCTTTCTTGTTTTTTTGCTTCTTCACATCGGCTTTCTGAAACCAACCACCAATAATCAAACACAAACCACAACACCCAATGCATGGAGGGAATTTCAGATAAAAATCCTAATAATGTATATTTTTACTTACTTGGTCCCCCGATGGGACATAAGGCCATAAATGTCTATTATACACTTGTTAAACTATAACTTGTTATAGTATATAATAAAATAATACGTTATGGTAAACTATAAGTTAACAATAACTTGTTAAAGAAAGGTAAAATATGTTGTACATTGAAGATATTCTTCGCATGATGGCGATCCATGTTGATGTTCATCTGACCGAGCACATTCATGACCTCCTCAAAGTTGAGAACACCGTCTCTGTTGGCATCCGACGCTAGAAAATGATTCTTTACCCATCTAAATGCAACTGTCAAGAAACCTAGCAGTACTGGTCATAGTTTAAAAAACCCTCATGTAATGTTCTTCTACCTGGAATATGGAGAGACTCGTGAAATAGATTTACAACTATTTAGATGTAAGGCAGTTTCAAGTCTATACACACAATGATAAATTAAAACTAAAATTTCCTGTTTATATCCAAAACCACAGAGCCTCTGTTGCCCGCATCAGTGTTAACTAGTAGCGAGTCATTAGTAGGAATAGATGGAGAAGTGTTGGCGGTGGTGGTGGCAACCGTGGCAGCAGTAACAGTGGAGGGTCCAGTAGTACTAGTCGTAGCAGTAAATAATATTCAGTAGTACTAGTGCACATGGGCAAAGGATACTTGAAGTGACGTCGACGCAGAGCTGAGTACTTCTGTCGTTTGACGAGCGTGTTGAGAACTGTTAGCCAGCACGAGCGGTCCTCCTCGGAGTCCGCAATCAGGTCCAGCGTGTCATGTTTTTCTCCCAGCACCAGTGAAAAGCAGTGTGCTTCTTCCAGCGGCTCATGATAGCTGGCTCGCTTCTGCGCTGCCTGGAACACGTCTGTGTTCCATCCTGAGCGGATCTCCTTGATTTCGGCGAGGTCAACTGAGATGCGAGATAGACAACGATGCATATTCTATCGAACGGCTTCTTAATTCTATCAGCCATGAAGCCCATAATAACAACGGATTTTACTTTCTATGGCATGAACAAAGAGAAAATACATTCTGAAAGCACATGGCAGATTTGTAATTATTTTGATAGATATGAATAGTTTCATTTTGGTGAGCATCATAATAGCATCATGATGATTTATATAGAGATTTTCAAGTATCCTTTCTAAAAATGCCCTTTTGAACACTATATGCACATACTCAATGACTCTATTAATTAAGGTAGTCACACCACAAGCTATCTATCATTCATACTTACAATAGGAATTTCCTCGCTTAATCCACTTCTTAGAGTCACATTGGCGGATTCCCATGAGATCAGGTGTAAGCTCAAAATGACGAGAGTACTGTTTGCCTGCGCCTCGAACCTTAACCATGTGCAGGCCTTTAGTAAGGTGTGCGACATCCTCCTTGAGATTATCTGCAAGTGAAGCGGTCTATTAGAAACAGCATCATGAGCCAGAAGGTACCGTAACTGGCAAGTTGCATAACGGAATGCACTGACACCAGCTAGTACAACAGATGACACTGTAACAAGCACATAGCACAACAGAGTACCATGATACTACCAGGTAGTGCATCAGAGGGCACTATGATCACTGGCAGCGAGATCAAGTCTGCTCCTTCCATGCTCATGCTACAGCGCACGCATGCACGCACGCACGCACACACACACGTTATATAAATATATATATATATATATATAGTGTATACATGTGTGTGTGCTGTAGCATGAGTGTGGTGGGGCGCAGAGGTGATCTCGTCGCCAGTGACTACGACTGGAGGGTAGCACAACAAGGGGCAGTACAACTGCCAGCTAGCACACCATGCTGAAGACACTGCAACTGGCAGCTAACACAACAGACGACACTACACAGCAGATAAAACAGATGACACTGTGACTAGCAGTTACCACAATTGTGATGCTTTTACTTAATTATCATCAGTTTTTTTCAGATCTGCAGAATTCTTTGCAATGTTCACTGATATGACTGTTGATTTAACATTTACTGGTATTATTGTAGATTCTACCACTGACCCTTTACTAATTTTTGCCTATAGGGCCTATAAAGAGCAAGCACACCTTTTACTTTGAATGTATTGCGTACATATCAACAAAAATAATAAATTTCTGAAAATGCATTTATTTACACTCATAAGGTATGATGAACTTCTCTGGAAGGTTATTCCAAAAAACACATTGTTATTAGGGGCAGCTTTGAAGGGGGACTAATGAAGATTATGGGAATTAAATTTGCAGCCGAAATTCAACGCTTGGTGGCATCACTAATATTCAAAATCTCTATGTAATGATATGTTATATCATAGCAAAACGAGATTTTCTATTGGCACAAGAATAATTATGAAATACCCACAATAAATGTCCCCACAGCTAGCTAGGGGGACATGCCACGCACTGCCAAACCACTTTATCAATTCATTCGTCTGGTCCTAAACTACTATAGACTTGTTCTGTATGCAATACACACAGCTGGATAAATATTACAAATATAACTAATGCTATATCCAGTTAGTGTTTTGAGATTCCAAGATATTCCAAAAATAGAATATCCAAATATGGAATATGGTATATTCAAATATGGAAGATATTCTAAAGTTTCACTTCATTATGTATGAGACACCAACTCTGAAAATATGCCATCGAATCCACTGGGACTCATTTCAAACATTGGTTCTACTTTTCAATGACACTTGGAACCCCCTAATACCTATACAATATGAATAGAAAGATGGAAACATACATCCATAGTCCATATACACATTATATCTTGCCCAGCACACAGCCATCTTTTGCTAACAATGATATATCTCTATATATACTGTATTACTGTGTCTCGGCCTTGGCGATGTGCTAACTCACGATATTACAGCCTGCATCCCATGATGCCAGAGGGCATGCCGACCGGAAGCCAAGGGCTCGAATTCCCAATCCCAGACTGGCTAACTTGAGTGATGGAAGCAGGCTGTGCACACTTGCACTCCAGCCATTTTATGTCTCAGTGTTTGAACTTTTAATAACAAGTGCCGCAGAGCGGCAGCGCTCAACTCACGTGTACTGTAGCCAGGTATTCTTCTGATAAACTCACTGGCAACCGAATCAAGTGCGCCCGCCCTCCTGCCACCGCGTTCGCGCTCAGAGCATATATATCTAGGATATACTACTAATACAGATCTAAAATCTATGATAGGCTATACCTACTGGTAGTAAAGTAGTAAAGATACAGCTGTGTAACTTTAATGACTTCGCTATATTAACATGTTATCAAGGATATGAAATCATGCGCGAGCGTCAGGTAGGCGGTGCGTCGAGCAGTGTCGGGTTAGGGGCGGAGGGCGTGAAGGAAGGACGAAGGGAGGGCGAGGGAGGGTGGCGGCCGACGGGGCTCTAATAGCAAAAGCAGTTCAGTCCTGCTTACAGTCAGACAAATCCATGTTTAACCCTCCTCGTTGAGGGTCAAAATTATCCGAACACATTACTCTTCGCCATGTCAGCCGGAAAAAGTAATTTCATGTCCTTTCAATAAAAGCCAGTAAAATGGTAGGTCACGCGTGAAACAAAAAAGTTTTTCAACGCTCCGTCAGACCATGTCCTCAGAAAATGTCTAAATCTGCCAGTGCCCCAGTTGACCTGTTGACCTCCAAATTTCAGGACAGTGATTGCTGTTCCTACCATGATTGCTATACACCACTATCACGAGCCTACGGTCGAAGCCGTTTAGATTTGTGCTGCAATCTGCATTTCCTGCGCCTATACCCTTAAGTATTACGGAGGGAATGTATTCCGCACTTCATTTACACCTCTTGACTTTGAACCTTGACCTTTTGATCCCGCCCAGCTTCGAGCATTCCAATCGTGTTTCGGATTACCCCCCCCCCCCCACGCCCCAATATCGTGCCGCGTCGCAGCGTTAAGATTTGATGCCAACTGTTGACGGACGCACGCGACGCACGCCGACAATCAATGCCCCAATATCTACAAAGCTGGCATCCGCTATGTCAGATGAGCTAATAAGATCTGGGTTAATTCCCTCGAGTCAGGCACCTCACTACATCAGGAATAGACGTCCCTACAAGAAAAGGAACTACGAAATCTGCTGTTTACCAGTGGTTGAGAGGGGGGGGGGTGAACACATGGACACAAATTCAATCCACTCCTACCACACGGGAAACCTCAAAAAGTGATGCTTACATGACACTAGTAGGCGTGCTCACACACAAGAAAAACCGCGATGGAAATACCGCAGATAATTGTGTCGTTGCTTCACACAGGCGAAATATCGGTCGCTAATCGCCGAGCGGGATAATTCTATTAAATCGACTGCGCAATGCTCACTGCCGGAATGATGCTCATGGTGATTTGCTCACTGCTCACGTCGCTTGGAATTGATGAGGATAGAAAGAATACCGGCACACGCAAATAATCGCAGCTAATTCCAAATAATCCGAGTCAAAAGTGCCGATTTGGACGCGCGATGCTGATCGCGCAATTGATTAGTGGAGATTATTGCTTCTCACACTTGTAATAATCTCGTATTTCGATCGCAATGCAAAAACCGGGATTTGCCATCCCGCTAATTCACGCCAGTGTGAACGCGCCTACTAACTCATTGTGTTAATCTACGTTTTGCAGTTTGCATGTGAAAATCAAAGGAATGAACTTTATATAAACATTTATATATAATGTAAATGTATACGAATAGGCTCTTGATACAGATAAAAAGCCATGATGTATACTGTATTAGTTCGTAATGTAAATGACAGCAGTTACACTACTCAATTACGAGATTGCATGGTCTGGTTATTACATTATTCAGTATAGAATCTCATGCATAAATATTAGTGTGCCACGTATAATACCTGTAAATTCACAATAATAGTAGACTAAATTATCATATCATCCTTCTTAAAACAGCCCACTGCCCCTAATTTTCTGCATGCAATTTCCTTCATTTTTTCAGCAATTAATTTATAGATCCACCCATGTAAAGTCATTATCCCCAGCCCTGGGTATACATATCTATGCTGAGAGGGTCTATGTCCCCCGGGGTACTGCCGGAAAGTACCCTGGGTACGGTCCGGTACACCGGAACGTACCCTGCGTACTATCTAAATATGCCGGACGGTACCTCGCCTACTCACTAACGAGTTGCTACCGGAGTCGCCTACGCCTACGTCCCTAACCCTAACCCTATCCCTGAATCCTAACCCTAACCAGATCAATAGCGCACCAGGTACGTTCGGTATACCGGACCGTACCCCCAGTAGCGTTCCGCGTATACCGGAGCCGTACCGGGTACGTTCCGGCAGTACCCTGGGGGACATAGACCCTATGAGCCATATCTATGTGTGACCACAAACCGAAATACTAGCTAGGAGGTACAACGCCCACGTCGAGCAAAAACCTAGCAGACACGTGCAGCTAAAAATCTGCGTATACATACATGCTGCTCATTACTAATGCTAATAAAATGGTTTGTGGGATGCACCGAGGCATGTGAAAAGCTCAATATAAATCACGTGATATAAATCTAATATTTAATGGCTGGCTCTGCATGGCACTTTAGTTTCCTGCAAATTGCTAAACATAAACCGGAGAATTAATGTAATGGATAAACCACGTATAGCAAGCTTACACAGAGACATGCGCGTATATATGCTCGTACGTGCAGTACTCGCATATGTGCGTACATTTGCGTAAGGCGTAAAGATTGGAGAGAGAGGGAGGGAGGGAGGGAGGGTTGAAAGAGAGAGAGAGAGAGAGAGAGAGAGAGAGCGAGCGGGCAAAAACAGTCTATAATTACCACAGTGAAAGACCACAACACGTGCCATGAAATATAACACAATGTTGTTTGCTTAAAATCAATGTTGCCATGCACAAAGTGGTGCAGCCACCTAGCACGGACACAGTAAAAGAGTACGTAGACATGAAACACCTGACGAGCATAGTACAATTTATATCAGGAGTAGATAATAGGGATTATACAGGATTATATAGGATTACAGGATTATATAGGATTACTCCTCCCTATTATCTACTCCTGATTTATATGTTACAGCAGAACATATATCACAGTAATGTTTGCCATAAAATACTATACTGCCGTCAATGTCAGTTCATTGCTTCTTTGGCGAGGGCCATAGTTCGTCCAAATGTTGCAGATTTCAGCCGATCTATCCGGATTGTAATTATGAGGAAAAAAGGTCAAGGACGATGCTCATTTAATATTTTGGGTAACCCTTAATTGGTTCAATGATCATTGTGTTATGCTTAATAAATTATGGGTAAACTATAAAGTGAGTAAATAGAAATCCAATTGATCACTTTCACCAGCATACTCTCATAGCCTGGAATAATTTAATTACATCTGATTCCACATGTAACAAAACAATTATGGCCTG